TGCGAATCAGATAACATCACAAGCAAAGCGCTCTAGCCTGGAAACTCTTGATGTTTTTGATGTTTTTCTTTGGTCATTTTTGTTCACTGTCTTTGGGAGCACGGCTGCTCCGAGAGCGCGCGGGCCGTCGCGGTGTAGTCCTCCCACTTGTGTGCGCCGTCGTGGGTCGGCGCAGGGGATGAAGCAGCATTCATGAGAAGTCGTCGAAATCACCATGTCCAGTATCTGTCCGTGTGTTTACTATCTGGTTTTCTGAAGAGCACTTTTGCAACCAGATGTGTCGGGCCCGACGAAAATTGCTAGCTGTTGTTTACTGGGGCGTTGAGATTTGGGGGACAGGATTTGTGTTTGTGAAAGTTGTTTTCCTTACGCCTCCCCCAGATACCCCCTCTAAATGCTCTTTTGGTCTGCTTTTCAGCCAAAGGCCCGCCGTCATTCATTAAGCCTCGGGAGATTGTTGCAGTTTTTCGAGCTTTGAGTTCTTGACGATTTGAAGCTCAGCGTTGGAGGTGTTGCCAGTTTTTTTTGTCTTAGTTGTTAGCTAGTCGCTTCCTTCATTTTACATCTTGATTGGGGTTGGGTGCCACTGCTCGCGCTAATCATTTCTGTGCAGATTGGCCTCTGTATTTCCTTGAGTGAAAAAATTGCCTTTTCGCGGTTTCGCCCAGCGCCTGTTCCATGCCTGGTTTGAGTTGAACCGCTGAGCCCGAAATCGTGCAGATGAGGAGTTGCAGATGTTGAGCCTGGTATTTAAGTGTTTTACAGGTCCTTTGAGCTCGAAATCCCACGCCCGCATTCCACTAGTGACCTTTGCCAGCTGGGCGCACCGATGACAACAGGCAGGCCCCTCGTGAAACACCAGGTGCCAAATGCCACGCCCAAGCATTGAGGAGGACAGAACACATCACTGCCCTTTTGGCCAGACACGGTTGGGTGCCAAGGCGCTTGCCTCTGCGTATGCCGGCCATTACCTGATGACCGGCGCAAAGCCTTCCTTCAGACCGAGGATATCGATCGACTAGACACCTTAGAGGTCGCTGACTCGATTGGAGCACTGCCTCCAAACTCTCTGCGTATCAAGGTGCCACTCAGCAACTTGTCGGACATATTGTCCTGGGCGGCATGCCTGTCTGCTATCGGAATCCCGAAAGCGGTGTGCAACAATAGTGTAGCGTCACTCCGCAAGGCGCTCTTAGTAGTTACTTTACGCCCCATTGCACAGTTCTTCGCTCGACGTCTGCAGGAACTGGCGTTGGTCCCTGCTGTGACGGAGCACCATGCCAGCCTTCTAATGCCAATGGATACCTCATTTTGGGAGGCCACCATTCTGAAAAGTGTGTGATCAGCAAGTCGCGGCTGGCTCATGCCTACACCAGGCCAGTTGCTGATAAGCCATACTATGACGCTTTGTATGTGCATATCCCACCGCCACCAATTGCCGCGTTGGTGATGTTCGCAATGTTCATACAAAATTCGAAAGGCGTGGGCCTTCCGAAATGCGTCCGATGCGCGCCCTTACGCTTGAGTGGAAGCCAGAGGGCGAACAGCCGGGCAGGCTGGCTGGGAAACTAGGATTTTCCACGTCCTATTGCCCCACCTCCATGGGGCTACACCCGCAGCGATTCACTCATCTCCACGGGTGTGCAATGTCTGGATCGCCAAGCTCATGAAACTCCCCGAAGATACTGCCGGCTCTTTCCTCATGACCTTTCTGCGGGAAAGCGCCAGCAATGTCATTGATCCGGAAAGTCTGGGGGTCCTCGTTGTTCACGTCCCAGTTGACAGTGCCAGTGCAACCTTCAGTACTCTTAGTACGGTGGTCAGCTTTACACCAGCAGCAACCTCACCGTGCAGGTTGGCCGCAGGTGCTGTGAGAGGGTGGGGATTGGCTTGGGGTTTATGTAATCCGGAGTCAGTGCGAGCCTGCCATCCTGGCACCGCCTCAGCTACCAGGACTGAACCCCTTCGCTCCTTTCCTCGAGTTCGCGGCCCGGCGCTTTGGCTTCCTCAACTGAGGAAGAAGAAGCGCCTGAGGTGTGACAACATTTGACCACCTCCCCAGGCTGGCAGCCCTGGGGACGAAGAGTGGCCAGCCGTTAAAGGGTCATCGAAGTTTCTCGCAAAAGGAGAAGGTAGGTGTCTCCAGGGCCATAGGCGCTGCCCTGTTGCCGCGTCAGGCCTGAGGACCCCAATCCGCTCACGTTTAGCTACTCGCTCTGTCAGTTATTAGGGGCAGCTCTTCTCGAGACTCTTTCGGACGAGCTTCTACAAGGGTATACTCCCACACTCACCAGCCCAGGTGTCCTTTTCAAACCCATGTCGGCCACACCACAATCCCTGAGCGCCCGTTCTGCCGCATAACTGGTGCAATCATGACCTTCCTACAGGCTTGTTTCGTAGAGCCCAGAGGCAATCAATCTCTCACGCCTACAGGAATATCAAAATTCGGCGAGTGCAATGGCTCTGGTCATTGACCCCGGCCAAGGTCCACGTGCGGCCAGGCTACTGGCTGAAAAGTCTGTCCTCGAGGCCGCCGTAGCCAAGGTTGCGGATGCGCGCTTGGTTCAGTACACTCCATTACCCGGTTATCGTGACGAGCAGCCTTCAAGATCTCCTTGAAGAGGGCCAGCTCCGATTCTCAAGATTTTCGTGTACTGTTCAGGAAATTGTCCCCTAAGGCTCACCTCCACCTCATTCAAGTCACTGGCCCAGTGCATCCACTTGCGCAACTCTTCTGCACGACTCGTCCAACCTGATCAGGAGTCATCGACACAGACTTGATGATTGATTGTCCCCTGAGTTTCAGCGTGAGGGCCGCGCATGGCCCACATGATGTTCCTCGCATGGACGCGGCTCTTTGCTTCTGGGCTGTCGGCGTGCGCGCATCTTCCATGGCGTAAGGTTCAATTCTTTGCGATGATGAAGAGTCCGTTTACTTTATGGTTAGTGGTTCAAGCTCAAGCTTGGTGGCAGCGGCTTGATCGCAGCGGTGCGCAAATCATGTAATCATAATATGATGAGCCAGTGGTACGAGCTTGTCAACACGGCAAATAACACCCTTTTTAAAGCAATCCTTATACCCTTTCCCGGGGAGTATATGGGGAGCGCGCAACTCCTTTTATGGTGTGCACGTTGCACCAAGCCGTCCTTATCGCACCAGCGGCAGTGAGGTGCATTGGGTAAGTGCGCCGTTGTCCGATTTCTCAAGCGCGCGTGCCATGCGTGTGCATACATGCGCTTTTGCGGGTTCCCACAGACTTTGGGGCCTCAGCTAGCATGAATGCCCCGTGACACGTCGCTAGCCTGTAGAGGGAAAAGTTTGGTGCGAGTCTCATTGCAACCATGTTGTGCTGTGTGCATATTTGTACGTGAATTCGAAACACCCACATTGAAATGAAGACGATGTTGCACATGCCAGATATTCAATGATTGATGAACGCCTATTTGTGAGCTTGGAAGAAATAGTTTGCAAAGTTTGTAGGCAGAAAATAAAGCGTTCCGTCCGGGAATTTGCTTGGTTTGCTTCGTTTTCGCGCGGGTTATTCATCCAATCAGGAATCCAAAGTGTTTGTTTTCTCCGAGAAATGTCAAGGCCAAAACTTTTGCGGCCGCCTAGTTTAGGCATTTGGGGGTTCGTTCTCCCAGGTACATTCGATAACTGCAAAAAGAGTCGGCCAAGCCTGTCTAGGTGGAGCAGATTTTCTCAGACCGCAGGATTTTTGCGTTGGAGCATGTCGGAGATCTTTTCAGAATTTCGGCATGTAATGATTTAGCATGTCGCAAACCATTGGTTCAGGAATCCATGCAAAGCTACCATTTCATATCCGAGGAATGTTCATGAGTTATTTAGCTAGCGGCCTTCGATTGAAGATTACCATTGTTTTCGGTCAAGATTCTTTCAAATCCCACACTTGGGCTGGACAATGATAGTAGACAAGGCTGCCTTGGATCCTTTGTGGTTGGAGCGAGCCTTGACATGTGCATTAAGATTGCACGGGGGCTTAGAGTTTGGGGCAGGTTTGGGCATATCGCCCCGCTTAATGGAGAATCAAATGGAAAACAACATGGAAAATTTGAAGAGGGTTGTTATCTGTGAATTCACCCGCCAACAATTGTTGGATTGGCTCGCCAGTTAATGTTGTTGACATTGATGAATTGTAGGTAAGCAGGTGTCTCATGTTCAGCCACGTTGGAGGAGCGTGTTCAGCAAACAAATTTGTGTGTTTTGATTTTCTGGGGGTTAGTAGAAGTAATTGAATAGAAACGTGATATAATCTGTATATCATCCGTATACAATCCTATATTATTTCTATATAGCATAGCATTGATTTCCCCCTACCTTCCAATAACCTTTAGGGATGTCGCGCTCCGTCAGCCATGCAACCTTTGCGAGCTTTGTGTGTTTGTTTGCGAAAAGCAGTGCATCCTGCTTGGAGGTTGCTATTCGACCAGGCTTGTTGGTGTTAGTAGGGAACAAATGAATACAATTTATAGGAAGTACGTAGGGTTGATATCGGATGATATAGGGATTATATAGGATGATAAAAGGACTTTCGGGATTATAGCGGATGATATAGGGATTGTATAGGGATTTGTGGGAGGTATATGAGGATCATCCAGGGAGTAAATTTCTAGTTTCTCTGCTATCCACCCTGTCAGCAGGCCAGCGGCGTAACTTGTCGAGTGGAAATGCCAGCTACCCGGTTGGTCTTTGGCTGGGCGATTGGGCTGCTAGCCTGGTGACAAGTGGTGTAGCACACATCCTCATAGAAGAACAGTTGGGCTACAACGTTGTCGAGACAGGGCCTGGCCAAAACGCACTTAGTGCCTTTTTTGCTCTAGCCGGCTGTGAAAAGCCGCATGCCTTGCAAGACCAGGGGTGCGGACTGGCGACGACACGCAATCATGTAAATCTGGAGTGCTGGGCTGAAGGCTATGCCGCAGAGTGGAAACTTTTGGAGTATAAGTATCCTTACCTATCTCCTGTCAGTGCCGGCAGCATGGGCTATGAAGGCCTCTCGTCCACTTTTCTCCGCAGAGAAACACTGACTCAAGCCTTCTTAAACGAAGGTGCTATCTTGGATTACTTTCGTGGCTGGAACACGACCTGGACCCAGCCATGGAAATACTTCGACGGTCTTCCTTCTGTTAACAGAAGCCAGATGGCTCCTGCGGTTAAGGTTTATGGTACCTTTTGGTACCTTTATATGGGTTATATAGAGGGTACAGAGGGGTTGTATAAGGGTTATATCGGGTTTAGGGTTTCGGGTTTAGAGATGAGTCAGAAATTGCAAGCTTGTCAGACTTCACTTGTTAGTTGAAAGTAATCCCCTCCCCCTAGCAAGAAAACTCCCCACCCCTCTAACAGAAGATATTACTACAGCGCGAATATTATTAGGGGAGGGGATTAGGACCTTAGGCTTGGCAAACCTTCCGACGTGGCGTGGCTTTTTGGCTGAGGTTCCCTGCAATGCATCTCGGTTCACTGTCACGCAAGCCAACCAGGACTACCTGCGCGTCACAGGCAGCATGCATGCCTTCAGAAGCCCTTTTTTTCCCAAAGCTATTCTTTACTGTCCAGCTCTAAGCCCCAAACTCTATACAGTACAACGCACATTGCCGGGGCGCCTAGGTGACGCAGCAGGGGTGGCCATGCAGCCCGGTGGTGAATTATTTGCTTTTTGTCCGGATGGCTACTTCTGGTTGCCTCCTTCTTGCCGAGCTGTCCCCTCAACATGCGTTCCATTCTTCACCCAAGATCCGGGCTGGGGGTTGGATGATATGATGCAGAAGGTCACAGCATACGGAATGCCCATTGCGCTTGGGGTCGCAAAGTCCTGGGTGGAGATGGCCTTGCAGGTCAACGGCGTGTTTTACTGGTGGACTCCAGATACAACATTCCTTGCCTACAACCCGGCGGATATCAAATTTCCGCCCTACGACCCCAATGCCTACAATGGAGGAGACAAGCGAAGCACTGCAGACGCAGCCAAAATTTCCAAGATTCTGGGTCCATAATGGGCGTATATCTGTATATGTGTACATATACTAATGACTAATATGGCTCCCTTAAAAAAGTAACTTAAATCAAGTTCCCCAACAGCAACCCAGGATCATCAGCCAGGATCTGTCGGCTCTTGCTCCCAAGGTTGGCCTTTTTTTTTGAGACTGTGGTGGTCTTTTTCCGAAGATTAAATCCAGTATTCCGGGGCTTAGGGTTTAGAGTTTAGGGGTTTAGGGTGAGGTATATGGAAAGGGTTTTAAGATAAAGAAATCTCCAGGTGGTCGACTTCATTAGCAGCATGCGCTTTGGCCTCAGCGATGTGATGGGTATGATGCGGGACATGCTCGCCCCCGGACAGTCACACACCGACGTCGCCTGTCGCTGGATAAAGGCAAATGTCCATGCGTGGGAGTTGTGGCTTCCGGACAAGACCAAATGCGCTCCTGGCTTTGGCTTGTTCGACACACGTCTGTCAGAGTTCACCGGCGACAGAGAAGAGCCCACTTTTCTGGAATGTCGGGCTTGCGTGTCGGGAACGTATTCTGCGCGCCTTGATGACAATCGAGGCATTACGTATGTGTGCATGCCTTGCATGCCCGGAACGAAACAAGCTTCTGGAGCCGCTTTGAAGTGCGACTTCTGCCAGTTGGGTGAGTTCCAGGACAAGTCAGGCAGCCGGTCCTGTGTACGTTGCAACATCAGCTACTACCAAGACCAACTTGGCTCCACTCGTTGCAAGCCTTGTCCCAGTGGCACGACGCTAGGATTTGGCTCGATCTCAGTGGCCGACTGCGGCTGCGAATCTGGCTTCATCAACACAGCTTCCAGCCCTGGTTCTCTGAAGTGCGTAGAGTGTGGAGAAGGGCTTAGCTGCCCCGTGGCAAGCACTCTGGATGGGCTAGTGTCCGGGAAGGCAGTGTTTGGAGACCCCTTTGTGCCGAAAATTTTGCCTGACTATTACAGCACTGTGGACAAGCCCCTTGATGTTTACCGGTGCGTGGGCTCGTTGCGATGCCCTGGTGGTATGCCAGGAAGCTGCAGCCCCAATTTGCAAGGTCTTGCCTGCACAGACTGCCCTAAGAACCAGACTTGGACTGGTGAATGCTGCAAGCTTTGCAGCCCATTGCAGCTTACTTAGCCAACAGAAGCACTTTAACGCTTTTTGGGCTTCCTTATTTGGTTTCTAGGAAAAAGCTCCTGCTTGTTTGCCTTGGTTTTTTGGGTAAGAGAGGCTGCAAATCCTGTGGACCTTGGCAATCCTTGCATTTGGTCCCGGGCTCATTGCAGCGTACTATGTTCAGCATTTCCAAGCAAGAGCTGCAACCAATGTGTCAGCACAGGAGACAGCGGTATGTGCCTTTGCGATGATCTTTTCAAATCTGCAGTGTGTTGGCATGCTTGGCTTGATGATGGAGCTTCCGGGCAGCTCTCTATTGAGAGACATTTCCTCCGCGATGCAAGTTCTGGTTATGGATATCGACAGCATAGGCTTTAATTGTGTTGCAGGAAGGTCGGTGCCTATGCGTTACTCTGCGATGGTCCTCTTTTTCCCTCTTGCAGTTCTTTGGCTTATGGTCTGCTACTTGGTGTCAAAGCTGTTGCCGTTAAGATTGCAGAGCTGCCGTTGGAAGGGCCCAGAGACCAGGAGCACCGTAGGATTGCTGCTGTTGCTGGGGTTCAACACCATGTGCACGGTTGCAGTCATGCCACTGATGTGTTTCAGTCATCCGAGTGGCATGTCCAGCCTGTTGAAGTACCCGAGCGTCGCCTGTGCCTCCGATGAGCACTTCGTGATGGTCGTGCTTGGGTTGCTAGTTCTTCTGTTTGCCTTGGGTTTCGTGGCCCTTTGCAGTTATGCTGCGCTTGCAGCGCCTGGCTGGAGCAGACGGCGCCAGCAGCATTCTTCCGTGCCTGGCAGCAGAGAGGATTTCTGGATTTGTATCAGAGCTGCTTACTTTCGGATGTCACAATGCCAAAGTACCTACAGGCTAATAGGCCCGTTTTTGTACACCTCAGCCTCCTTGACACTCCGAACACCCACATTTCATGAAACCGTGCTCATCATTCAGGTGTTTTCAGTGAAGTCTTTCCGCTTCCTGTTCTTTCGCTTCCGTCTGGATTGTTGGTGGTTCGGGGTGCCACTGCTGCTTCGGGGCTCTCTGTTGTCGCTGCCCATCGCAGTGGCAACAAACTATCCTGCAGTGCAAGTACTTATGTGGACTTTCGTGCTGCTTATCTTCTTGGTGGTTGGAGTATGGGTTCAGCCGTGGAAGGTCCCACTTCTGAACACCTTTGACTGCATCATGCATGTCTGCATCGTGATGATAGTCGCCTCGAGGTCACTGCATGTGGGTCTGAAGGAGGATGTGGTGAATTTTTCGGCTGCTGCTGACATCGTGATCATGTCCACGCTTGCCGCGGCAATACTGATCTTGTGCGTGGTAACAGCTAGTGCTGTCGTGACTTCAGGTGGGTATCTGTCAAGAGCAACAAGTTCCCCCTGAAGCTAGGAACTTTGTGCTAGGCACCCCAGATGAGCTGTAGTCTAAACTCCTAGTATCCCAGTTAAAAGGCCCTATAATACTCCCCTATCTAATCCCCTGCATAGCCTCCTTTGAGGAAATTGAAGCCTCCAGGTCAAGATGCAAAGATTCGTCTCCTGAACCTACAAGCCCCGCCCCCGGCAACAGCCGTGGCGAGCCGGTGCCTTGTCAGGGCTTCGACTTTCTTACTGGTGGTTAGTAGAAAATCAGGGAGTGTAATCCCATTTGAGCTACAGTCTAAACTCCCGAAAGGGGGCCATTTAGGGTATTGTATAGGGGACTATAGGGGCTATTAAGGGGGATACTAGGAGTTTAGACTATAGCTCATATAAACCCTAAACCCTAGAGGGATATAATCCCCAGACTAACCCCAGTAAGCTTTGGGGTATTTAACGCCAGAGGCTGGGTAGAGATCCTAATTCCTGACCCCAAGCCCCGCCTGCGAAACCGTGTGGCCTGAACCCTCGACTCTTCTGGGAATTTCAGGGGTTCTCCATAGTGAGGATAACCTACCCAATTATGGAAATGAGGCCCTAAACCATGATCAGAAACCCGAAACCCTAAATCCCAAACCCTAAACCCTAAACCCTAAACCGTAAACCCTAAACCCTAAACCCTAAATCCCAAACCCTAAACACCAAAGGTTAAGAGCCACCGCAACTCTCCTCACAGTCATGGAGGATGTAAACCTGCACAGAGCTTTGGAGGCCGGCGGCAGTAAAATAGGGTTTAGGGTTTAGGGTTTCCCCTCCCCTAATACCAAAACCTTATCTTAAAAAAGGGGTTATACAGGGGTATCTTGGGGAAGGGATAAGAAAATGGACACCACTTTAGGTCATAGAGTTCAGGGCTGATAAAGCCCCCGCACCCCCTAGTAATGATCCCCCAATATGGTATTATTACGTATATATTCAGACGAACATTTGTTCTACGGGGGGTGGTCGGGGTGTATCAAAAGGGGGAGGGGGACTACCGCAACATGCAACAAGTGGCATAGGAGTAACAGTACCGGGGAGAACCACCTAGAAGTCGTACCTGCGTCCCTGATCTAGGAATGTAGTGAACATCATGGCACTCTGACGGTTTGCTAAGTATGGATCATTTCGCACCTTGACATTTGGGGTTATGTGACATCAGGCAGACTGCGCCACAAAACCGAAAGCCAATTAAGCATGGCAAACTTGACATTGGAGGCGGTTCAAGATTACACAGCAGCTTTGTTCCAGTCGCTGTGGCCTAAACCCTCAACCCTAAACCCTACGAGGGTTTCCCAAAGCAGGATGCCCCAAAACGGATCCAAAAGTATTGTCACCCTTCTCACTCGGACTCTCAGCAAGTGCTCCTATTCATTTTTCGAATCGCTAGCCACAGATATCCCTTTAACATCCCTTATATAATGCCATATGCCCCATATAATATCTTTATATCAACCTGGAGGATTTCCCTTTTACAGGGGTAGGTTTGCAAATATCCTGTAATTTTCATGAACCAGAATCCCGGTTTAATCTGTGTAAGGCCATTTAAAGATGCAGAGAATTTCTACAACACCAAGACATACTCTAGCATATTGCATACGTGTCAGGACGAGACCCTTGTAAAAGTGGCATAGGAGGAACATACTAGGGCCCTAACATAATCCTTATTATCCCTTCTAGCCACTACTACAGGATGGGGGGTACACCTTAAACCCTAGCCTCTAGAACCCTAAAACCCTAGAACATTAAACCCTAAAACCCTAAAATCCTAGAACCCCAAAGTCCTAAAACCCTAGAACCCTAAACCCTTAAACCCTAAACCCTAAACCCAGATCCACAGGGAGAAAAGGTCCGACAAACAAAAAAAGAGATCCAAACTTGGTAGACCCTGCCGCTCTACGACCGCAAGTTGCTTGTAGCCAGCTTATCCCTGCTGGCCATGGAGGTCCTTCCTGTGACTTGGGTTTAGCGTTTAGGGTTTAGGGTTTAAGGTTTTAGGGTTTTAGGGTTTTAGGGTTTAGGGGTTTAGGGTTTTAGGTTTTAGGGTTTCAGGGTTTTAGGGGCTAGGGTTCTAGCGTTTAGGGTTCAGGGTTTGGGGCTTAGGGTTTCAGGTATAGGGTTTAGGGTGTAGGACTCCAGCTAAATTACCGTGATAATAACGTATAAGTGACTAACAGGATTGCCTGATAATGGTACCAGATTCAAGTTCCCAAAATCATTCAACAAACGCTGGCAGTTTCTATTCTATGTACCACTTGATTCTCTAATACGGCAATTTTCCGTAAGCCTAAACCCTCGTGGGCAGTTTCCCAGAACAGATGGACCAAGAATATAGGATGCAAAATATCTAAATCCTTTTTCTAGTGACCCCTCAAGAAGGTACCCCTAGCTTGAGGAACCCCCAACACTCTCTCTACACTTTAAGCCGTAAACCCTAAACCGTTAAAGTATAAACCCTAAACCTTAAACCCTAAAGCCCAAACCCTACCTAAACCCTAAATCCTAAAACCCCCAGAAGCAACCCAGGCGTCCAGTGAGGTGGACGTTCTTAATTCCCGCATCCAGTCCGTGGCCTTTGGCCTTGCCGCGCCGTGCACCCCGGAACCTAGCAACTTACTGGCCGTTAGTACGGAATGGAAGGGTGGAGGGTTTAGGGTTGAGGGTTGAGGGTTTAGGGTGTAGGGTTGAGGCAATGGATACAGGAACTGAAAGCTAGCATCTTCAGGAAAGAGACGGTTAGGGGTAGGGTCAAGTTGTTGGTAGGGAATGGACAAGAAAATGGAAGCTGTCGTTTTAAGGCAATGAAGGGTTCAGAATTCAGGGTCCCTAAACCCTAAACATGAAAGCCTAAACCCTAACCCTACATGAAGGGTTACCAATTCAGGGTCGCTGGTGGGGAATGGAATTAAAAAATGAATGCCACGATCTTAGGACAATACCTGTTTTTGTGTGTCGGGTTGTCAGAAGGGAATGGCAGAGAACACAGAAGCTATTTTACTGCGGCAAAATAGGGTTCATGGCGTGGGTTTGTTAGTAGGGAATGATAAAAGCACTGAAGATAATGACTTCGGGCAACTGCGGTTTTAGGGTGGTGAGGAGCGGATCCTAAAAGTAGCCTCTTCATCCTCAATACTACAGTCTTGTTCCCTAAACCCTAAACCCCTAAACCCTAAACCCCTAAACCTTTTCTACTAACAACCAGCAAGGCAAGGATGGTGCCATCGATGTGAATGAGACCAGACCGTCTCAATGCTGGTGCACCTGGAAAAAGCCTTGGTTGGCCTCAAGTACATCCAGGGTAGCGCCAACCTTTTCACCCATCTAACGACTGCTATTGAGATACGGGACACTCGCCAAAAACGCTCAAGAGAATCATTAAAGGAGCGCCACAATCTTTTATTCATTCTATATACATCTTTCCTAAGGGCCTTTGTTGAAGACTCCCCCCCAATATTGCATGTGCATCTCGTCCCTCGTCCATTGGTCTGAAAAGGACCGATGGCGAGCATTTAAATTGCAAAAGGGTCGTGTATTTCTGCTCGAATGAACGTGCTCGAAGGGCATTGCAGGAATATGCTATTCTCTTACCTTTGGTTAGCTTATAGTAGTCCTTATGTAACTCATTATAGAAGTTTCCATTTTCTGTTCCATTCCTTCACTCCCAGCTAACCAAAGGTGAGCTTTATTCTGGGGGGAGGGATCTTTCCGCTTGGGAGAAAATCCCAGGAATGGAATTTCCTCAAAGCAATACCTCAGGCATGCTTACTCAGGACTCGCTCACTGGTGTCTTTCAGTATAGTCCCTTTCAGTAGATCGAATATGGAACTCCCCAAAACCATAGAAAGATCCCTACATGCCCCATATTCATTATACCCTAAACCTTATAAGGGGGGACTATACCCGTTTCGGAGAGCCCTCCGAAACCACGCTGGCCTCGAAGCCGTACCTGTTCAAAGTGCGACATGGATCACGGCCAACCATCTGAAATTTCCTGGGTGAAGCCCTAAGCCCGGTACCCTTAGCCCGTAGACCCCAAATCCTAAATCCTAAACCTTGTAGGGAATGCGGGAACTGATCCCTGCATCAGTTGCCAAGGTCCCATTCCTTGATTTGCGGCTATATAAGCACCAGGCTGACAACTGCAGGTGAGAGCCCAGAGCATTTACCTGAAATGCCCAAGCCCTGAATCCTTAAACCCTAAACCCCAAAGCCTAAATCCTAAACCCTAAACCTTGAATCCCTAAACCCTAAGCCCTGAATCCTAAAACCTAAACCTTAACTCTTGAATCCTTAAACCCTGAACCGTAGACTCTAAGCCCTAAACCTAGTTTGTCTGGAGGTTGGCCGCAATACCTGGTCGGTGATAGCAGGCGGCTCCAATTCGAGCACCATATCATTTTATGCAGGAGAGGTCTCTTTGTACAGACTGCCACCAAAGGCCATCAGCATTCAAAACCTTTGACATTTTTCCCCTCAGTTCCCCGTGAGTTAAATTGAGTTCTCCTACAATAATCTGTAGTGAAGGTCCTGAAGGTGGAATCTTCGACTTATTTTGAAAGTACGGAGGGGACGAGTTGAAATTGAGCCGGGGATCATTCAGAAATGTGATTGCAGGAACCTGAAATTTGTCTCCTTCAAAACCTGCGGCTTCGGGTTTAGGGTTTAGGGCTGGAATATGGTTATACTTTCCCCCATATCCCTAAGATCCCATCCTCCTTACATCAACCCCAAACCCTAGATCCTAGACCCCAAGTCCCATTCTGACAGCGCGCGTCATAGCAAAAAAAACCAATGTCCCTGAAATCCTTAGGGTCCTTATATACCTAATATATACCCTACGTATACCCTTAAGGATCCCTAGAATCTCCCCTAAAAGGCTTGAGGGCCCATATTAAGGGCCCATACCCGTATCCGTAGGGTACCTCCATTGTGGCCGCTCCTCATACCAAGTCAAC